ACCCCAACCCTGAGACTGACTGGAGTTAGTATACTGACCTCCCTAGTGGATTGACTGGAGTTAGTGTATTGACCACTCTAGTAGATTGACTGGAGTTAGAATTAGATGAGGGCACATTCCTGACACTCTATAGAATAGCCTGCTGTGTATTTCCACCTGGGAACACGTCATCATCCTCGTTAGCGGATTGATCAGCATCACTAACAATGGGCCTTGCTTCACCAGTATCACTGAGATCTGAGAAAATCCCCAGAGTCACCGAGTGAAGTGAAATGTGTGGAGATAACGAACAGTATTAGAGCTCAAAAGTCCATTAAACAATACAAAATAAGAGCAGAGCAAACACGGACCTCTAAGACATCAGAGGTGGGATCAGGTGCCATGGAGGAGCTAGTGCACATCCCCTGCCGACTGGTCACACCCGCCGTGTGCTCCTTGTCATGATCGGGAAATAATAATCGTCTGATCAATATCCTCCAAGATCATCTGCATTTGGCGATTCATCGCCGTTTTGTCATCTTCCTCTTCCTCCTCTGCTGCTTCTTCCCCACCTTCCTCATCATCAATCTCTTCTTCCTGGACATTTGCTCCATTTCCTTCCAAACGCTATATCAAATAAGTAAGTATTATAAGTTTGAGTGTTACTTACTTAAGCACCAATCACCGTCTCAAATTCTTAGCCTCTAGCCTCTGATATACTCTATGTCCTATGCAATAAAATGAAATGACTTTTCTAGAATACTGACCACTAAACAACAGAAATATCCAAACTACCTAATATAAAACAAATAATATAGAGACATATTGTAATAAACTCCTATAAATCATAACAAAAACTAGCTTTCCGGCTGGAAAAAAAACAGAAATGACCACACACAGAATTTCACCGTTCCCCGGCTACCGGTTTCAGACTAATTTCTGAATTTAACCATAAATGAGAACGTTCATAGTGACGTGGCACAACGCCTCTTTCACTTCCACGAGTCTCTTTCCTTCTAGCCAAACCAGTTTTCTAAATTTAGCTTATATACCCACACTCAAAACTATGGAAACAACTAACGACAAAACTCATAAGAAAACACAAAACCAAACATAATATTAACTATATTAACTATATAAACAAATACCAATTTCATCACATACACAAATGTACAATGTAATTCTCTATGAAGATTAATCAGGGAAAAAAGTAGATTAATTGTCCAAAAAAAAATAAAATGCAGTTATGATTAGATCAAATACCCACCAGCATTAGATCCTCCCCTTTATTCTCCCCACTTCGTCACTAATTTAAACTTATTGGGTTTTTCTGGATAGGAATCTTCGCATTCCATTTCTTCCAAGTCAGAGTCTGCATCAGAAGCTTCATACTCAGTATTTAGTACAAAATAATACATATTTTATGATAAATTTATCACATACTACCAAAAGTGTGGTGAAAGTATTTTATCTTCAACAATGGGGAGTCTATTTTCAAATAAAGCCTATATTTGCTTTCATGAAATAATTCAAATAAGTATTACAAAAACTTTTCCTTGACTTATGAAAGTATCATATATATGTAAAGTCAACAGAACCTATATATGTACTTTGAAATAGATATAATTGAGATAAGAAAAATGTATCCTGCAGATAGTTCTTGTTCAGAAAACATTAAGACTACAGTTTATTCAAAACAGCAGGTCAAAGGTCAAGCTTTAGTCACAAGATTGATTTCCTTGACATTTAACATAGTTACTTGTTTTGCTAAATATGAAAATCTTTCTTTTTTCTCACCAAGAATCTTTGTTTTTTCTGGTTACACAGAAAATGGATAGATGATCAAATCCCACTCAAAATATTTGTGTTGTTCTGTTTTGAAAATAGAAAAACATCATGGTATGTACTGGTATCACTTGGGTAGTTTGAAATGATTGTTACTTTTTGCAACAGTTTTGGGACATTAACTGAGAAAAAAGGGGTTTATCCCCTCCTCATCTGAAACAATTAAATTATTTCAAACTCTTAACATGATTCATCACTACTTTTAGGATTTTGCAAAAGAAATTAAAATTTTCACGACTTTCAAAAAAAATTATGGGTTATGAAAAAGAAATTGTTTAAATCTACACACTCAACTTAATAACAGAAATTTGACCTGACGTGCCACATTTTAACAGAGATCATTATATACTATAAACAAGTACTGGAATTTAAATCACGTGATTGGAGGACAGGACAGGACAAATAATTGAATAAGAAAGTGCTGTTGTTGTCTAGGAGCCATGTTGTTAGATTTACTGGTGAGAAATGATACATAAAGCTATTTTACCTTGATATAAAGTACCATTTTTGTTTTTTATTATGCAGATGAGTTAATTATTGTTCGAACAAAGAACTTAAAATTTAATTAATTAAGTTTGAATGGTTGAAAAAGGAAGTTAGGACTTAGAATTGCGCAGGACTGTTAAGGCGTACTACGAAGAAATCAACGGAATATAGATGTGCATAAATACATACCTTTTTAAACTGAATTTATTTTTGTATAGCTACTATATTATCACATGACTTTAATTTTAATTGAAATAGCATTGTATACCCCGCTCTGTACGGAATTTGGTTTGGTCACGTTATTTGAAAGTCACGTGATAAATGCATGTAATGTGTACTGTACGTAGGTCATAAACAAATTTCAATATCGCAAGGGCATACCCTAATTAGAATTAAAAATTTCAGTAATAAATTATATATATATAACTTGTAGTTTATGAAAAGTGCTGCTGCTTTAAATAGAATTCGCATTTTATTAGTTTCAATTTCAAGTTATTTGGCCGTACTCGAAATGTGTGTGACCTTTACCATGTATTTTATTTATTCATTTAGTAATGCTCTCGATTTCAGGAAAGCAACAACACTTTTCAAGTTAAGGAATGTTACCTTTATGCACATTCAAAAAATGTTCAAGATCTATTAAGTATATGCCCTTGAGAAAAGGCGATTTAATGAGGCACCTCGGCGTGAAACATGCACACCCTGTACACAAAAACACGGTAGAATTAATTCAATACATTCTCTACATGATTTTTGAATAATGACACTAAACAAAGGTTTCAGATTTGTATTAATGGTCTACCTAAGATTTGCAAATAATATTCTGTTTAATAATAAAATGCGTTTTTCACTGTGGAAAAATTACTTGATCCGCCTCTCACTGCACATAAAATGCGTCAAATTTTACCATGATGACAAGTGCATTGCGATCAGTGACTTGTTTATATCTTGCTGCGTGTGATTTAACTAGCGACAAAAATGAATGCAGTGGTACGTTTTGATGTAGTTTATCACTCGTATGCAGTTCAGAACCGCAAATTATTTCATTTCATTTTCTATTGCATGTTGTGAGGAATTGCAATATTTGTGTGATGTCACTGTAGACATTTCCGGTATAAATTAGGCCCCGCCCCATTATGCAGCCTTAACAGAGCTGCGTGGGTCATAGATGTGTCTAATAATTTACATATCCACAACATAATCTATCTATTCCCATTCTTTCTTTTGTAAACAATATTTTTTCAAGAATTGTTTGTATCAGTGAATTACAGTGTTAATTTCATGAGTGTTTTATCAGTTTTTTTATAATGTCTCTGTTACTCCTTGATTTTCGTTGCAGTGTCTCCTAAGCTTGTGACCAACTCATCAATAATGCACCCCCGGTATAGTGCTCAAGACATCCTTAGGTGTGACCTCTGTGAGACCCATGTGGTACAAAGTCTTGCGAGCTTTGTCATGTCAACCTATGTAAGGTCTGTGTAGGTGAGCATCTCTCTGATTCAAGCAAGAAACATAGAGTTGTACCATATAAAGAAAGAACCTCAACTCCTAACTACCCAAAATGCTCAAAGCATTCCAAGAATTGTGAACTTTACTGTGAGCAATGTGACATTCCTGTCTGCACTACCTGTATCTCCTCAGGTAAACATAAAGGACATCATTTATCAGATGTTTTACAGAAAATCAGCTCCAAAATAAAAGACATGGAAAAAGAATTAAAAGAACTTGAGATTAGAATTTTCCCAAAATATGAAGAATTTGCATTAGGCATAAAAACCAGTAAATACAACTTGGAAACACACTACAGAAAACTGACAACAGCTGTCACCAAACAAGGAGAAGATTGGCACAGAGAAATTGACATAATTGTTAACAAACAGAAATCTAAAATTGATGAGATGAAAACTAAACACTTGACTGTTCTAAATAAACAGGAAGATTATGTCACAAAAATTACTGCAGAAGTGAAACAGAGTATTATTGATCTGAAGAAAATTCTGAAATCCCATGATATCTCCTTAGCCTCTGTCTACAAATCCAGAAATGAAGAGTTCAGACATTTACCTCCAGAAGTCAATGTTTCATTACCAAGTTTCTCTCCTCATCAGATCAACACAGAACAGCTCAATCAGATGTTTGGTTCTATGTCAGCATTATCCATTACAACGGAAAAAGTTGGATATACAATGGAGACACCAGAAGCCGTATCCTGTCCTCCAGTCAAACCACTGCTTGATAAACCAATGCTCATCGCCACCATAGACATTATGGTTGAATTTATAATCTACAATGTTACCTGTTTCAGTGATAAAGAAATCTGGGTATGTGGAAATAACAAAATCATGAAACTCTATAACCTCCAGGGCAAACTACTGAAGTCAATCCAAACCAAGTCAGGGAATGATCCATGTGACGTAGCAGTAAATAGGAGTGGAGAACTATTTTATACTGACCCTAAGACAAGAACTGTTAACATAGTAAAAAATAAACAGATACAGGAAGTGATCATGCTACAGGGGTGGATACCTAGGTATGTCTGTAGTACTTCCTCTGATGACCTCCTGGTTACCATGAACAGTGATGATGAAGAACATTCAAAGGTTGTTCGTTACTCTAGCTTTAGAGAGAAACAAACCATTCAGTTTGACAATAAAGGTCAACCTCTCTATTCATCTTTTTATATTAAATACATCATTGAGAACAGAAATCTTGATATCTGTGTGGCTGACAATGGAGCCAGAGCAGTAGTGGTGGTCAATCAGGCAGGACAACGTCGATTTAGATACTTCGGTCATCCCTCTAAGAGTTTATTTGATCCAGTCGGCATCACAACAGACAGCCAGAGTCAGATCCTGACTGCAGACTATGACAACAACTGTATCCACATGCTAGATCAGGACGGACAGTTCCTCCGTTACATTGATAACTGTGACCTACATGATCCATGGGGTTTATGTGTAGACACCAGAGACAACCTCTTTGTTACTGAGTGTGACAGTGGTAGAGTGAAGAAAATCAAATACATGTAAACATTGCATTATATCAAGAAATAATTGTGAATTAGATAATTAGCTCTGCACTGAGAGTTAAAGTCAATGATGTCTGATTCAGGATTCATAAAACAAAATTAAATGAAAAGTTTGTGAAATACATGTTCTTTACATGATGCTATGATTCAATGTTGATTTTTAGTAAAAAACACAGTTGCTATCAATGTCTGGAACGTATAGTTTATGTTGATAATTAAAACAATCATTAGCAATTTTGGAAATATAGATTTTAGCATTGTAGATTACATTAAACACTGTTCACCTAAAAGTGTTTTATGGCAGGATTACCTTTTCAATATGAACAAAGCTGGTTTATAAAATGTTTTTTGCTGTGATTGAATAATTCCTAGTTCTCTGATTGGCTGAGATCCACCATATTAGAAAAATTACTACAGGAACTTCCAGGTGAACATAATACATTTATTCATCATATACTTAGTAATAAATACACCAATTCTGCACTGTGCGGCACGGGTGATGTCACAATATCCCATATCAAGGACCGGTCCGAAAATCCATATCACGTATCGGACCGGCGTGCAAAAATCCATATCAAACTGGAAGTAACGTTTGTATAAAGTTTAAAAGTTAATTAACTTGATTTTATTTAAATATACATGTAAAATAATTCTTTACTAACATTTGTGGACTTAATTTGTTTTCAAAGACCTAAAATTGGCGCTATTACATTTTAAAGAAAAAAGTCATAAGCCTGCACGAAACATTTTTCAATGACTTTATGTGAACTCGCATATTAAGTATTTTAAATATATGATAAATAGAATACTACATACAGAAATCCATAGCATATGTCTATTGACTTGGTTCAAGGACAACTTGTGTTTGATCAGCCACCAAGAACCAAACTGTTCAGGCCTTAGGCAAACAGTTTGGTTTGAGGGATAGACAAACGCATTTTGCCCGAGAATACTGTCAATGTTTTTATTTTATTTTATTTTTTTATTTTTTTTATTTATTTATTTATTTATTTATTTTTTTTTATTTTTTTTTTGCTAATACTTTTTTACTTTTTATTGACATACATGTATATTGTGTTGGTTTCCATGTCTGATTTAATTGATAAGGTATAAAATAGCTGATCCCGCCTACAATGTGAAAAAACGTCATTGCAGTCCAATATCTCATCGACATGTCCAATATCTCACTCTCCAAAATCATTTTTTTAATCTCTAGTAAAACATTGGAAAATTTATGTATTGTAAGACTGTTGTTCATGTAGATTTATATAGGAAACAATTTTTAGGATATAACAATAGAAATTAATTTTATTATTATTATTACATTTAACTAAATATAGATTGCTAACTTCCAAATTAATACAATTAGTTCTGAAGAGTTATTTCACCTGCACCCGACTTACACTCAAGTGAACATGCAGGCACATAGAATCAGGTGAGGATGTGTGCCCTTTAAAAAAAAAAAAAAAAAAAAAAAAAAAAAAAAACCCTACCCCCAAAATGTACTCTCAAAACTACACATCTTAAAATGGGGGAGGGGTGGGTCCAACAATGTCGGAGGGATTTTTTCCCTACTAAACTGTATCAGAAACTTGGGGGTAAATTTTACATTTAGACAAAAAAAATGTTCCCCCTTTTTTCTGGACGATTTCGAGAATTTCACTTTTTGTGATGGGGGGGGGGGGTTGTTAAAGTTTTTTTTTTTAATTTAAATTGTCATATATCATCCATATAATAACCCTTTTCGAAATCGATGCTATGGTCTTGACATTTTTCTCCATCGCACCAAAAATAGATTTAAAAATTCAAATTCATAAAAATGACTATATATTGTTTATTTTAACCCCGCTTTTTGTACTGTGTTTGGCCAAGACTTCAAGAAAGATGGTATGGCTTGCTTAATGATTTTGTATCATTTAAACATTTAAACATTGAATTCATGTAATAAAACAATTATTGATGTATTTTGTTATTAAATACGATGATTTAACCAATCTTAAAGTACAATGTTCACCTCAACTTTAGACCTCTGTAAAAATGTACTCCTCATGTGGCTAAATCATCGTATTTATCTACAGTATAGTTGAAGAGAGGAATAACTCAATTGTCTTTTTGTAACTTGAAAAATAGACAATTGAGAGCGATTCCCCTTCACACTAGTTTTTACCGTTATTTTCCGATCGTGACAAGGAGCACACGAAGGGTGTGACCGGTCGGCATGGGATGCTCAATCCTCCATGGCACCTGATCCCACCTCTGAACATTCAGAGGTCCGTGTTTGCTCTGCTCTGATTTTGTACTGTTTAATGCACTTTTGAGCTCGAATACCGTTCGTTATCTCCACATATTTCATGAATAAAAATGCTCAAGGCGGCAGTGTATGATACTATGCGGCAGTGTCTGAGAAACTTAAGATTAATATTTATTGGCTTTGCATTAACTGATGGTGTGATAAACCATTTGGATCTTAAAGTGTAATTAATCTTCTGATAAAAAATGATGACAGGAAACATTAAACGTTGTCCCAAACACAGTCATGCTATTTTGTAATTATAATGATATGTATATACATATGAATTGAAGAATCGTTCAATGATCATCAGTATCTCCAAAACCATGGCTGGCACATGAAATCGGGGGTCGGCTAGGGGGCGGCTGCCCCTCCTCATTTTTTACGAAACTTTTTAAATATTAATTTAGTATGAAAATTATCATTGAAAGGCTAGCTCCCCCCTCCCATCCGTTAAAGGACCTTAATACCGACCCACATCCTAACCCCACCTAAAATAAAATTACAAGTTTAGTGAATTCTCTTTTTGGGAGGCTAGTCCGATTTTTTATATGAAGAGATGCACACTAATACATGTACCCTGTTCAATCGATTGAATGTGCATTTATTTTTACTTAACATAAAGTTCATGCAATAAATATTGCAATAAAGAATGGTGCAGAAGCAGAAATACATATGAGGTAATGTATGTACATTGGCCATTTTTTGTGATTTATTAACAATTTAATTTTAAAAAATCCTATTTAACTCAAAAATAATATAAGTAAACTTATCACTGAACTATTGCATGTTACTTGAACTGACTCTTGATAGATGCATCTAAATTCAATTCTAAATACTTGGTTTAGTGTTCATATGTTGTTAATACAAAGCATTATAAAAAAGCGTAAACTGTTCCAACCCAGATTATACCGTATAACTTGGGTAGCTATTAAATTCTTTCCTTATAATTTAATTTTCTATCATTAAGTGTAGGAAAAAAAGACAATTTCACCTCAAATATGACATTAAATTGTACAAAATTTGAATGTAACGTCAACCGGATTGATACGTTTTTGACGCAAGTCATTGTGACGTAGGCAACCAAGGTTATACAGTATAAACTAATTTTTCAGCCAATCAAAAAGTGTGTTACAACCAGAATTAAATTATGTAAAATAAATAAAAAAAAAATCACAAAATTCTCTATGTTCAAATTTCATTTACTGAAACCTATATTTAACTCCAATTAAACTCTCATTATGCACAGGGCATAACTTAATTTTAAAACAGGCCATTACATTAAATATAGAATAGCATACTACTGTTTAGAGCGCGGCACTGGTATCGGCCCGAGCCAGAAGGCGAGGGTTGATACCATGCGAGGATTGATACCACGGAAGAGATTAAAACAGCAGTATGATGTTGTTTATATCAAAAACAAAGTTAATTTAATAAAGAACAACAATGCAAATCCATTTTTTTTCTGATGTAAAATTATTGAAAACATTGAATTCGTATTTTAGTTACAAGAAATAAATTTGAATTATCCACCTTTGTTTCCACCGTCTTTATTAAGGAGGTAAAGAGTTGACAAATGTCGCTGAATAATCATGCTCGTCCCTTATTCTTCCTGGTGATCAAAACGACATGTGTAACGGTTTAAAATATGTTATCTTCATTAATATCATTCTTCATTAATTAATTGTTCACACATTATATCTACATATAGGCTATAAATCTTATCCGTATATGAATCGTCCCTCTTATCTCACCCCCTGCTGACCCCATAATGACCATTAACTGTGTATTGACTCCTGATCGTAAGGATTTTATGATGTACTCCTGATCGTCAGGAGCGGATCTTTAGTATATATAGCGCGACAGAATTTTAGTTCAGTTGGTTAGTTACTCAATCTCATAGTTACTTACTTACGACCACTTACGCTAGCTAGCACTTGGATTATTAACTTCGCCTTTGTTTTGGATTTACATGTATATTTGATTGTGTTTACTTGGATTTTATACTGTGAATTATTTTCCCTGAATGTTTCTATTTGCGATGTGTTGTGTAAATAAACTGTAGACTAGAAATTCGGTGTCTATTTTCAAAATGTGAGGAACAAGGATTAATTAAATTCATTCATGCAAATTGAAATCATGAAAGATGTTGTAAGACCGCTCGGTGCGGCGCTACACATGCAAGCCTGTATCCAGTCAATTGCTCGCCTATTCATGGATGAATGTCTTGTCTAGTTACATATTAAGCCGGTAGACAATTGTGCTAGTCTATAAGAGGATTTACTCAACCTACAGGAGTAGGAGCAAAAATGGTTGATTCAGTTCCAAACTGAGAAGTGCGAAATTATTACCATGCATCAGAAAATGCAGGCATTCATTTTACTTCGGCTATTCCATCCATGCTCATGAACTAGAGCATGTCGACAATACCAAGTGTTTTTTTTGTTTGTGCCAATTAACAACTAAATTGTATGACAAACGAGATGACTTCAGCTTTTCCATTGTAATTTTTTTTTATTATCCCCTCGCGCAACTAGCTGCGGAGGGGATATAGCATCGCTAGTGTGCGAATGTGTGTGTGTTATTGTGTCCGTTACAGGTTCTGGGCAAGATTTAAAGAGAATACGTTCTATTTCCACCATGGAAGAGTTATACTTCTTAGTGCGCTCTTTTGTGAAAAAGTCGGAAAATGTACAAATCTCGCGGGATTTCTGGGACAAATGTAACATACACATGTAAACAATA